CCCCCCCCTCTCTCTCTCTCCCCCCTCCCCCCTCTCTCTCTCTCCCTATCCCCCCCTCTCTCTCTCTCCCATATCCCCCCCCTCTCTCCTCTCCCTATCCCCCCCTCTCTCTCTCTCCCTATCCCCCCTCTCTCTCTCTCCCTATCCCCCCTCTCTCTCTCCTCCCTATCCCCCCCCTCTCTCTCTCTCTCTCTCTCTCTCTCTCTCTCTCTCTCTCTCTCTCTCTCTCTCTCTCTCTCTCTCTCTCTCTCTCTCTCTCTCCCACTCCCTCTCTCCTCTCTCTCTCATCTCTCCTCCCCCCTCTCTTCTCATCTCTCCTCCCCCCTCTCTCTCTCATCTCCCCCCCCTCTCTCTCTCATCTCTCCCCCCCTCTCTCTCTCATCTCTCCTCTCCTCTCTCTCTCTCTCCCTCCTCCCCCCGGTCTCCCTCCTTTCTCCCCCCTCTCTTCTCTCTCTCCCCCTCTCTCTCTCTTTCCTCCCCTCTCTCTCTCTCTTTCCTCCCCTCTCTCTCTCTCTCTCTTTCCTCCCCTCTCTCTCTCTCTCTCTTTCCTCCCCTCTCTCTCTCTCTCTTTCCTCCCCTCTCTCTCTCTCTCTTTCCTCCCCTCTCTCTCTCTCTCTCTTTCCTCCCCTCTCTCTCTCTCTCTCTCTCTCTCTCTCTCTCTCTCTCTCTCTCTCTTCTCTCTCTCTCTCTCTTCTCTCTCTCTCTCTTCTCTCTCTCTCTCTCTCTCTCTCTCTCTCTCTCCCCCCCCCCCCTCTCCCCCTCCCCCTCTCCCCCTTCTCTCTCTCTCCCTTCTCTCTCTCTCCCACCCCTTCTCTCTCTCCCACCCCTTCTCTCTCCTCTCTCCCTTTGTATATGTATCAATATATTGCTATATATCCATATATGTACACACATCCACACATAATGTTTTTCATTTTCTTCTTCAAGCTTCAGCTTACATATCTTGCATGCTTAATCGCCCAAACCACCCGAGATCCGAGAGAGGTAAGCAGGAAAGCGGGAGGGAGGGAGGGAGGGAGCGAGGGTTTTCTAACCCGCATTCTGACAGAGTGACAAGAGACTCGTTCCCCCCAGCAGGAGGACGCCGACGCCCCTGGTTACGCCTCTGATGATGACTCGATCAAAAAGAAGGTGACTTGAGTAGCTTGGGAATGATCTGGTGCTGGCGGGTTGAGTTGGCCAGGGTCTAGAAAAATTATATTGAGGTTGTGGAGTTCACCGGGCATCGATAGGTTTCGCCGAGATCTTGGGCGGGGCACGAGAAGCATGGTTAAGGGGGAATTGCCTTGATAATTTTGAAAATTTCGGCACTAGCAAAATACAAGTGCTACATATTGTAAACCCAAACACACTTTTTTCCATTTTCATAGATGTGGCCCATTAGGGGACATTAAATCGTTATAACCTAAGATGTTACATAGATTTTAGTCTGTTCTTTAGAAAGTGACTATTGTTTGCCACCATGAATATGGCCTCCGTGGCTATGGGTACCACCCACACAGTAAACAGAGGCTTCAAAGGCTAAACTGGATGGTGGTATATTTGTGATTACTTTTTTCTATAATATGTTTTTACGCTAATAGGTATAAGGATAATTCCCGATTAAGTTCCTTCATCCCTGTAATAGTAGAGGCGTATTTCGAGTTTGGGTGTAAAAAATGGGTTGTAACCTTCTGAAGGTGGACTTGTAGTATCTCCAATGAAAAGTGTAGAGTGTATGATTACCGTATATTTGACAACTCGAGTATAAATGCTGTTTGCTGTATACCTTTACTAGTTATAGAAAGTAGTAAGAAAGGGATTAGCGAAAGTATCGAAGATAGTGGAGAAAGACACCCAAGATTCCCAACCAGTCTGTATAAGTGCACCCTTATATAGACCACAGGAAATGTGTCCGTCGAAGCTGGTATATACAGATTGGCTGTGATTTGTACCTACTGTTGAATTTGACGTGCATGTATAGAAATATATATATTTTTAATAAAATGTAAAAATAGATATTTGCGGTATGTCGAGAAGATGCCGATGTTAATAATGGTTAAACTGTAGACACGGTACACGGTTGTAGAAAATTGACATGCAATTCAGATACTTTTGAAATAAGATGTTTACTGTTTTTTGAGAAAGTATTGATATTTTAATGGATCGAAAAACGAATAAAAGATATGGAATGCTTAATGACATGAATGCGTGCCATTGAGGAGAAACTCTGGATTATTTTCAATTCGAATTCAATATCTTACACACGGCCATTACATAGACATGTTAACCTGCGCATGTAGACGGCAAGTCTATGGAATAAAATGCATACATACGCGCACACAAAGCTAATATTCTGCCTTGTGCACACAGGTATGGGGCGCAGTTCAGCAGGAATGGCGAGTATCAAGAGCACTTGAGGTGCTGCTGCTTCATGTGGAGAACGTCAAGAGGCTGTACGAGCGGGACCACCAAGAACTGGAGGAGATGCGCAAGTAAGAGGCGCGGTTATTTTCGACAC